CCCCACCCCTTTCTTTGTGTCCCTTGTGACTTAGTGGGTGGCTGTCCTCTGAGGATGATCCTCTTGGCTATGTTGACAGAATTGACCGCAGAATAGAGGACTTCACTGGACTCACCATGTCCACAGCCGAGCAACTACAGGTGAACGGCACTCTTCCCTAATGCGTACATGTCGTAATGTTGTTTTCCTTGTCCACTGTTGAGTTTTTAACACATGTGTAACTGTAGAAGTTTTCAAAGTGGGAACAGCAAAGTTTGTACAGTTGGCAAAGTTTGCACTGAAGAACACTAGTCTTTACCTCTACCAATGCTGCACTGTAGGTTGTGAACTATGGTATTGGAGGGCAGTATGAGCCTCACTACGACTTTGCCAGAGTGGACGAGGATGCATTCAGCGACCATGGAGCTGGGAATCGCATCGCCACTGTCCTGTTCTATGTGAGACATCTTACTGTGGCATATTGGAGCTCAGATAATGGTGGAACCTTTCTCTAAGGACACCCCTGCAAATATCCTAAAGATTGCTTGCATTTTCAAAGACACCTCAGTATAAGGCCACTTTTTATTGTATTCGGATTCGAGGAGTCTAACTGTGTACACATATTTCCCTCTACTTGTCTTCTCTCAGATGTCAGATGTAGAGTTGGGTGGTGCCACAGTGTTCCCTCTTGTTGGAGCTCGCATCCAACCTTCTAAAGTGAGGGTGAAAGAATGCTCTGTGTATCTCTAGCCATACATGGTGTGTTTGTTGTAATACAGGGAGACGCTGCCTTTTGGTGGAACTTGAAGAAGTCAGGAGAGGGAGACATGCTCACTAGACATGCTGGCTGCCCTGTCCTAGTGGGCACCAAATGGGGTATGTTTTACATGTATGCATTAGGTCATGGTGTCATACACCCCTATACATAAGTAGTGCTGCCAGTGTCATATTGTTTGCATAATGCTGCCATTCGTACTCTTCCCACGCAGTGTGCAACAAGTGGATACATGAGGGAGGTCAAGAGTTCAGAAGGAGGTGTGGCCTAACACCAAATGAGGAATCATATGGACACACACTATAGGATTAAAAGAACCCGTTACATTTACTGTCACATGTACTTTGAAATCACCTATTTTGAATCAAAGCACCTATATAGCTAGCATTACACCTTATTTGCTGTTCATTTGCTGTTCAGATTGTGTTTTGGGCCAGACTCCAACATTGTTCTTGGAAATAGCTAATAGTTAGTGGATCCCTCTTTCTCCAATTTTCAGCTTCAACTGTAGTCAAGTATTAGGGATGGTTGGTATGCCTATCGCCAACTCTGCTGGCTGACTGACAGTTGGGTAGCCTTTGTTCCCCTCTTTGCATGTGCTGTGTGAATATTGTTCATGTAGGGTCCATTATGTTGGTACCCGGATTTTCCATGCACACAGGGTGTGACCCGATGGTTATGAGTTGAGACTTGGTGTCTGATATTACCTCAGGGGACTATATGGCCTGCCTCAGATTTTAGCTTGACTCGAGTCAGACTCCGATTACACCACAATCGAGTAAACGTATACTCATAAGCCCAACCCATCAATTAGTCGTACTGGTACCATGCATGCCTTGCCTTACCTTTCTACCTCGTTACCAAGTTTTTGTGACATGCACAAGGCTCAGGTGATTCCTTTGAGATCATGAACATAGTAGAGTATTAAAGATGAATTTTTAAAGGCTCAGAGGGAGAGCAAGAACTGAGGATAATATAAATAGTCATAACTGAACTAAAAGTATTGGTAGTTGAGAAAAACTTGTGGAAGAAGACCTGCTGGCTCTTGGCCATTACTGTAGCGGGGATTGACCCACAAAATGTCATTATGTACCGTGATTTCTCTGCCAATGAAAAAGGTCCACCATGTTTAATGCATACAATCCACGGCCAGGACTATAAAAGAAGGTATTGGTCCAAGATGTGTCCTTTTTTACGAAGCTGACAAAGTGAAGAACAGGACCACTGCTATATCTCTGTATGAGATAGTAGTGAAGAGCATATAATTATGTTAACTGCATAATAATTATTATGTCAGTACTTGCATATTATAGCCCGTTTCTTATAATCAGTGTAGTATATATAATAATTATAGGCACTGAAAAAATGTCCATTGTTATTCACGAAACATAGGATAAAAGAGAAAAAACTTTCTATATAGCAAGTTTAAAACAAACAGTCACAAAGCTACAGTAAAGAAAATTATCATGCTTATGAGACACTCAAAATTCTTCTGCAATAAGAGACAAAAGTAGTAAGTATCTCTCATTGTCCTCAGGACGTCGAAGCTGCCCAGCTCCGGTAGATTGAGGGAAAACTTGCCCAGCTCCGTTAGATTGAGTGGAAACTTGCCCAGCTCCGTTAGATTGAGGGGAAACTTGCCCAGCTCCAGTAGATTGAGGGGAAACTTGCCCAGCTCCGGTAGATTGAGGGGAAACTTGCCCAGCTCCGGTAGATTGAGGGGAAACTTGCCCAGCTCCGTAGATTGAGGGGAAACTTGCCCAGCTCCGTTAGATTGAGGGGAAACTTGGCCAGCTCCGTTACATTGAAGGGAAACTTGCCCAGCTCCGTTAGATTGAGGAGAAACTTGCCCAGCTCCGGTAGATTGAGGGGAAACTTGCCCAGCTCCGGTAGATTGAGGGGAAACTTGCCCAGCTCCGTTAGATTGAGGGGAAACTTGCCCAGCTCCGGTAGATTGAGGGGAAACTTGCCCAGCTCCGTTAGATAGAAGCTGTAGCCTTTTCTCAAGTGGAAGAGTATTAATCATCTGATAGAGAAAAGCTGCAACTAGACCACTAGCCTTGTCACTGTTCACAAACATGGGAGGAACACCAAGAACCTTCACTAAGGTCTTTCGGAAATGATTTATACCATCACGCAGTTCCTTGGCAGGAACTTTGTCATCTATAGGCTCTTCTATACTTAATATCTTACATTGAACATCTCGAATGTCACTCTCAATATCCTCCAGACTAAATTTTTTATCTTCTGTAATCTTCTTTAACTTGTCAGCAGCGGCCTTGAGAATAGTTGACTCCCCAGCTTTTTCCATGTGTTTGGCAATAACATCTAAGTCAAACTTTCTTTCCTCTAGTTTTTTGGTGTACTTCTTCCTATCCGGTTTAAATGCTTCCAAAGTCTGAAGCAATTGTTTCAGAGCATGCTCTAGAACTTTTTTAATTTGTTCTTTGGGTGGCCTGTTGCTGTTCAAAAATCTCCAGTACCTCAGTGCATCATTGGATAGAATTCCACCATTAACTCCACCATTGGTTATGGAGAATATCTTGTAAGTGAGGAAAAAAACGATGACAACAAAACCATCATTCCCGATTTTGAATAAGTCGATTAGTGCTTGGTCAATAGATGAAAGCAAAAAAATGAAAACACCTGCCACAAAGTAAGTAATAATGCCATAGACAAAAATGATAAATAATAGCATTAAGAGCAGAGCAAGAGTATCAAATCCAATGAACTTTCTGTCTTTAGCATTGGCATAAAGCTCGTTTTCATAATGAACATCATTATTGCCATCCTCAATATTATAATATAATAATACATCATCCTTAGGAAGGTTGTCTACATTTCCTCTTAAAGTTAAATGAATAATGACGGTTGAAAATCGATATACATACTGCAAAGACCAGTAGAAAAAAACAAACACAAGAATATACAGCAATATTATAGCAATACTTCTATCCTTGTAAGACACCCAACTACTAATGATAAATCCAGTATGTGATGAAAGGGCTATTATTGGTGTTATTAGGCTGCTTGTAAAAAGCCAAGCTCTTGCCTCCTTCCTACCAATATCTTTAAATAGCAATCCACAACCAATTAAACGCTTGAAACACTTAACAAAGGCTTCAAAAGAGTGTTTACATTTGGTATCTTTGGCATGAGAAAGGAGTGTGATAAAAGCAACCACAATGCTTAATGATAATCCCAGAATTTCAGCAACAAAAATAAGTGATATAAATGCTATCTGGTAAGCCTCCAAGGAATTGTGCTGCTCAATGTTAGAATTTTCCACCAAAGCCATTATGTCCATTATAATCACAAATAAAGAGAAGGTTTGACCAATCCAATAAAAAGCTGCTACACACGGAAAATTTTCAGAGTCATTTAGGTAAGATCTGATGTAAGGAAAAGCTCCATGGACACTCACCCACACCAAAACCAAAGCAGCAATTGGCAGTCCAATACTCAGAGAGAAGAACAGTACAACACTATCTCCCTGATAATCTTTCTTACGCTTCTCAGCAGCCACAACATATGCCCTGATGTCCTCTAAATCACTTGAATCCTGGGTGTAATGCCGCAACTGTAAGAACACAGCACATGCAAAGTGAAAGTCATAGCACAAACAAGATGTGATTCTTTTACCCTGTGTGTTAGAGTGAACAAGAAGTTTGTTGCATCAGAGTTTGTGTTGCTAGCTAAAGAGCTGCACTCTTCAGGTAGATTCAACTCCAACTGAACGACTCTATAACGCTCAATATAGGAGAAGAAAAGGGAGAGGTAGCCGATGATGTTTGGATGTAAAATAAAGTACAGAGTGGCAGTTGACCAGACGTAGTCAACACTGGAAGTAGAGAAGTTGTATGTCACGGTGACATACACAGGACTATCGACATTGGGAGGAAAGAATGTTGTTTGCAGCAGAAACTTATTTTGATCCTCTTTTAATGCATCTTCAAGCATGTTATAGTCACATGTGAAATTTTCACGCTTGCTGACAGAATAAGAAAAAATTGCCCCGAAAACAAGCAGACATATCAGAAGTTTCGCCATCTCATTGAATCTGCATAGTAAATAAAGTAAATAAAGCAGCTGATAATGAACATAATTCATACCACTTGGCTATGTAGCAACCCAAAAGCAAGTGCTTATTATTGATAGAGCAACAGATAAATTTTACAGGAGCTTAGATGTTCTTTTTATACTCTTCGTGCAGAGTGTTACAGTACTACTCCCGTCCCCACTCTAAACCTGTAGGATTCACAAACTGAAGTTGCTGATGTGAACAGTACACAACCCACAATCATTGTCTAAATCTGTCACATTTCTTAGAAATTACTACAAATTACAACACTGATATAGTAGCTACTCTCCCAGAACACGCCTCAGTATGTGTACAAACGGCTATTTGTTCCCTGTGTATAATGCGAGTAAAATATCATCCGACAGACCTTAACACTTCTGAGTTTGTGAATCCCACAGGTTTAGAGAATGCACTGCCACTGGCACGAGTCACTGTGAGAGAGTGAGAGATGATGGAGTCTGTGTTTCCTCTACCACTGCATGTCTCTTTCTCTCCATCCTCATCATCCACACTCGTCCTCTCGTCTTTTATTGAAGATGAAGATGATGAACACAGAAAGTAGTTCGCAGTCACAAAAAAGAGTTTTTATAGGGTGTTACGTACTATCTCCCAACTCATTGCATTTCCCGATGTCACCATCATACATTGTAAATGTTAATAACTGTCATTATGCTACTCAATACTACAACCCTTATACAAATTTTACTCCCTAGAATGTGCCTACAGTTTCTGTGAGGTTCTTTCCCTGTGGACAATGTATCATTGAACCATCCTGTGTTGGTGGATAGCTACTTCAGTACAGTACGTAAGGCTCAGTGAGGTCGAGCCTTTTCCATATTTTCCTTCCAATTCCTTAAGAGACTGTGGGACGACCACCGAGGAGACACTGCTGTAAGTGCAGAGAATATACAGTCACTGGCGTATGTGCATCAGCTTACAACTTACAGCAAGCTGCAGCACATATGCATCCAATTTCACAACAGGAGAGGTAACTTACGTCATTGGAGGATAGTGGTCATTTCACTAGAAGTCTTTTTCGTGACTGCCTAGCTAACTACTTTCTGGGTTCATCTTCAAAAAAGGACGAGAAGACGTCTGTGTGGAGGATGAAGATGGAGAGAGAGAGGCGAGGTGGGAAAGGGCATGTACTGGACCTCATCATCTCTAACGCTCACAGTGACTGATTTCCTTTCACCAAACAGACTTTTGGTGCCAAATTTAGCAATTATAGCTATCGGTCATCAGCTTTTGGCCTTCTTTAGATTTATAAATTCCAAGCCCTGTTACACATAGTGCAATGACCATCTGACATTGCAGGCCAACCAATGAAGGATTGCAGTGCATGCAATGCAAAGAGCAAAACAACCGAACAATGATTGTGAAAGTAGGAAAAGAGAGTACACTACTCATGATGAACAAAGAGGTGTAGTTTCCTACATCTGGATCAGCAATATTCATTGTTCACAACAGGGACGATAAACAACTGCAGCAAACATGCTACATGTACGTATGTATAACAGGGGGAACATTCGTACGCTATACGGGAATGGTCAGGGTAAATATCACAATTTCCTCCTAGTAATAATAATGTATGTGTCAGCAAAGAGGTCAAACCAATGCAAAGACAAACAAACTACTCACACCCAAGACAACTCCAAGAGCTGCCTTAGGTTGGATTCTTACACATGACACTCTGCTCTCTAGGCGAGCGCTCTACCAACTGAGCTACCAGGGGAACTGGAAGAGCAGGGTTTCAATCTTCAACACATAGCTACAACACAAGACAAAGGCAAACCTCAAACCACTGTGCTGCGTCACAGTATATAAACTTTCACTCAGTATATAGGATAATTAATGGACAAAACCTCACCATTGATGACGTTTCACACCATAATAAACCTCTTCGACCAACTGATCCAAATAGAGGGCTACGTTACATATAGTCTCGCAAGCCGATCCAATTGTATGTGAAGAGACACATTACAAATATAATATATAGGGATCCTATAATTATAAGCACTAGTTTGGCTGCTAATACCACTAATGATGACTGCTTCCTCCATGTGTACAGATGTTAGCTACATTAGATGGTCCAAAATTCGTTTTTCAGATTTGAGTGAGAGGTGTCGTCGGGAGAGGACAGCCATGGTATTGAAAGAGAGGGACAGTGAAGGAGGAGACTTCATCACCTCTCTCACCAGTCACCAATGTCCATGACTCATGTTGTAAGTATGGGCAATCACTACAACAACACCTTTAGTTTTGCAAATTTAAAATAATGGTGCATTGAAATCCAAACCTGAGAATACTACTACATATAACTATCTTCAATTTCCTCAATAGTGAACAATTGTAGCAGTGCAAAGATGAGCACACGGATGTTGTTCCATTAGCGGTACCGCGCATGCGCAGTTCGCCGAGGGTTTGCACTTTAGTGCTTTTCATTGCTTACTGTTCCAATTTTGGCAGACAATTTGTATGGTCTCTGGCAGTAACTTGAGTGCTACACAACCCTGTGTGTATGCTAAATGTATTGCGTTGTAGTAAACATGTGCATGTCTCAACAACTTGGTAACGAGGTAGAAAGGCAAGGCAAGGCAAACAAGTCAACTACACCCAGAACAGTTCTTTCTTTTTGAAAGAAGAAGAGCTGCCCTGGGTGAGATTGAACTCACGACACTCTGCAGTCTAGGCAAGCACTCTACCAACTGAGCTATACCAGCTGGTAGGGGTAATTCGAATCTACAACGCAACACAAGGCAAACCTCAAACCACTATGCTATGGCACAGTATACTCTCACTCAGTATGTGGGAGCAGACCGGGGTAATTAGACGCCGTACATATATTCCCACAGTGAGACATCTTCATGTCTGTTACTCTGTCTCTCTCACCTCAGCCAAAGGAGTATGACTCGGAGCTGACCTGCTTCTACTATGACAACCACAGGACCCCAAGTCTGGTCATCAGGCCTGTCAAGGTGGAGGTTGTCTTCCCCAAACCTCGTATATTCATACTGCGGTCAGTCTCTCTCTCTCTCCCTCTCTGTTGCTGCGGCTTTCTATATTTCATCTCTCGCTTTTGTGTTGTGTCATTGGCGAGCGGAAGCGAGCCAACCTAGTCTTTGCGATGGGATCTCCTAGTGCAGATGGGGCACTGACTGTTACGTTGCGTCCTCCAACTACACATGCATTTGGATGACGCACTGCTTTTATGCAAAAGAAATTACGCTGGCACCTCTGTGAGAGAACTTTCCATTCGGTGGCATTAGCTGCACTCTTCTATGCCTGGCCTAGGCTATAATAATATCTCTTCAATCTTTACAGTTGCAAGGTACAGGTTATGAGTAGGATAGAATGGCTAGGCTATTAACTGCAAAAACAGTCCGCTCGCATTCACCTATTAGTAACATTTCGGTCACACAGACTGGGGACCTGAACAATGTTACATATTTTATGATCTTCGTTGCCCGTTGGGTAGATGGTATCCTTTGTACAGGTCTATCTACACATGCCCACAAGGATGCACCACACTCATACACAAAGCGACATGTATACACTATAAAATACAGGGAACACACTACATCTACTGCCAATTTCCCCAACTTCAGTACAGGAAATTCAGTTGATGCCAGATATACAAGTGGAAAAATCATTTCTTCAAAATGAAAGGGGGATATAGGGATGGCGTGAAGCACCAAAAAGGAAGAAACAGGGGTCCATTACACAGCAAAGTTGCACAAAGCTACACTGACACCATC